GACTATAAAACCTGCACCAAGACTACAGAAACTACACCTCAAATATAAAAACTATTCCTGGATCACAGAATCTAAACCAGGACCATAGAAACCACACCAGGACCATTAAAAAACACAATTGGACCACTGAAACTACACCTGGATAATAGATACTACACCTCAACTATAAAAACAAATCCTGGACCATTGAAACTAAACCAGGACCATAGGAACTACACATACACCAAAAAAATTACACCTAGACCATATAAACCACACCTAGACCATTGAAAATAAATCTGGACCATTGAAACTACACCTGGGCAATAGAAACTACACAGAAGGTAAAACCTGGTCTATGAAAAATACTCCTGAGCATAGAAACACTACATGGACCAGAAAAAAAACATACATGGACCAGAAAAAACATGCTTAGACCATAAAGACCTCACCTGGACCATATAAATTACACCCTAACTATAAAACCTACACCTTGACTATAAACACTAATCCTAGACCATAGAAACTACTAGAAACTACACCTGGACTAAAGAAACTACATCAGGAACATAAAATGTACATGTATGGGCCACTCCCCAATGAAAGCATTAACTTACACAATACAATGCTGAGCCAGTCCAGTCCAGTCCAGGTATATTGTAACAGTGTGATTTCATTCTTCAGTGAGGATGCTCACTGCTTAACTACTCAGTGCTTTCCCCCTTACATGTACTGGGATCAACCTCTGAGTCATGGTGTCAGTTTACAGTCAATAGCAGAAACTTCAACCTCCATCCATCCATTATCTTTACCTGCTTCTTCCTTTTTGGGTCACAGGGATCGCTGGTGCCCATGTCCAGCAGTCACTGAGGTGGGAGACACCCTGGACAGGTCTCCAGTCCATGACAGGGACATGTGGAGAAAAACGAGACAAACAATCATTCACTCTCTCACCTTGGGACAATTTAGAGTTACCAATCAGCCTACCATGCATGTTTTTGGTCTGTGAGAGGAAACCAGAGTACCCGGCGAAAACCCACGCATGCACGGAAAGAACATGCAAAGAGAATATGCAGGCCGGGATTTGATCTGGCGACCTGCTCACTAAGAGGCAACAGCTCAACCAAATGATCGAGAATTCAAAATAAATGTTAAAACAAACCTGAACAGGACATTAACAAAAACAACCCATTTCCACACTCAGAAGCATTGTAAACAGTCAGAAACATTGTAACCAGTCAGAAACAT